GTTAGTTTTCTTAATCGTCTACATTATGCGAGATTATATGCATAGCCAAACCCTTATTGTTTACAATCAATTTCAGCGAAATCCCTTCCTTTTTGCACCTTTGGAGACCATTAGTTAAGGTTATCTAAGCATCTCTTTGAAGTAAGGAATTCATTTTCCACGTCTCTACTTCCTTACTACTTACGCATGACTTTAGAACATCCCTCGGCCTCTGTAGAATATTCACTCAAAGGCTTATAAGCTTAGATGTCACTTAAATACCTTTTTATCGTGAAAATATATATTATGTAGGTTAGAGCCGGTCGGAACTTTTTGCAATAATGTGTCCCAGGCCTGGCGATTTCCGTCATATGACGAACGAAAGCTCAGTTCGTTTTTATCCGAAATAAGGAAGGATGTATCATGGACTGTGTGAACCCGAACGTCGTATTAAAGCCAAACGGCTCTAATACAACGAGAATCGCTGTATCCTTTTGATGTGATCGACCCACGAATCTCTTCTTCATGCACTTTCATACGAAACCAAAGTCTCCACAACGCCTAGTGTAAATCAGGAGATTCCTCGAAACCTAACTTTTTTTTCCACTTCAGCTTTATTTGCATGCATGCAGCAGAAAATTTCATTTTAGGCATGGCGATAAGTGCTCTTATTAAATTTTTATATAAATTTTTATTCAAATAAGACGGTTTAGATTTGTGAATGTGTTGAATATGGTTCCAGGCTATTGGTAGATATGAAAGTTAAGAGCTGTTAAACCCTATCTGGCTCAAGGTGATGAAGAAATGGCAGCTGATTTTTCCGACAATGCTATGAATAGGCTTCATTTTGCCATTGAAGTTTGCATATACTTGCTTTCCAAAAGGTAGCCTCATGCAGGGCCGACTGTAGTTTTAACTTTGCCTAGGTCTCATAGACATCCCAGCGAGACTGGAAACTTGGTAGTGCAGGGTATAATCTCGACACCTTAATCACTACGCCACACTGCTATGGGTGACCTAGGGTCACAGAGCAGAAGTGAATTAAAGGAAGCCTAGGTCTTTCCGATATTATATTTCTGTGGTGGGATTGGCGATTCGATTACGTTACTTGTATTCATTGTATAAGTAGGTTTTCGAGACTACCAGGAGAGCCGTATTCATCACAGTTTGTTTAAGGGAAAGGCCTAGGTTTTTTTAGAATATGCTTCTGCGGTGTGGACCAAGAGCATTTGTAATGATGTCGTATGGTCTTTAACATGTAGAGATTACATGCCGGCGTTGGAGTCCGGCTAGGGCTTCTGATGATGCCTATGTGAGGTAGAAACGACAGTCCACTTCTGCCTGGGTAAGAATACTTTTTGGGAAGAAAGGCTATGTGGAATTCAGCGGAAAATTGAAGCATTCTCATATAATTGTGAGAAAATTCAACTATCAATCTTTCATCACCTTAGATGAAATAGGGTGATTATAAGATCAACGGGTAGTCTCAAAAACCTACATATAAAACGATAAATCCAAGTTAGCTCTGCTCTTTATGATGTTTTATCATCAAGAGTGGACGGCAGTTACAACCTTGCCTCAGCAACCCTCAGGGGATTCGGTACCAAGCCTTGTGCGTAAAGTGCTATCACTCCATTACACAGAACGGGTGCCCGTATTTCAAGCGACATACGTTACTTCTAATGCGTTCCAGACCTCCCCTATTTGAGACAGTCATAGAAACGATATAGATGAGACGAACTTGCCATTATAATCGAATAAGTCGCTTG